CCCTCCCTCCCTCCCTCTTTCTTTCTTTCTTTCTTTCTTTCTTTCTTTCTTTCTTTCTTTCTTTCTTTCTTTCTTTCTTTCTTTCTTTCTTTCTTTCTCTGTTTTCTCATAATTCCACAAATACTTTGCAAATATAAATAAACTCAGGGTATTGTATCTCAGTCACATGGCGGGGCGGGGGGGACCTTTACTTTCCAGCATTATTGTCCTTAGAAAGTAGAGGAGACTCTCAAGGCTGGTAATGGCCATTTGATCCATTGAGACTCCATGTGGTGGATCTGTTCTCAGCTTGGTCACCATGAAGGGTCTGGCCCAATACCAAATGCACCCATTTATTAGTAGCAAAAAGGAGACGTTTAGATCCCATGTCCTCAGGGTGCAGGAGAAGATGTCATTCTTGATTATCCCCCTGAATTTTTTGTTTCTCAAAGCTGGTGGGCTTATTGCCAATACCACCTTAATGTTTATGCTCCAGGAATATGAGTGGTCACCCTGGATGTCCATTATTTAAGGGTCTGTTGCTCCCCCCCCCCCCCCACCATTCAAAGAAATGCCCCAGGAGAGTGACGGGCCTGAAAGCTACCCATGAAAAAAACCTGAGGCTGCTTAGCGGCGCCTTTGCGTGTTCCCATGGAGCTCTTGCCAGGGTTGAACCTAGGTTGAACCCTTAATAAAACTCCCAGAGAGGGACATTCTTCTACTCCACCTTTGGGGGAAAGAGGCCGGTCATTGTGGCCCCTTTAAAGCAGGCCCTTTAAACCTCCAGGGTCTCATGTTCCAGGGGACAGGCAACACAACAGAAAAGGTCCTATCAGGGGGTCTTAGGATTAAAGGCTCAACAGTGCCTATGCGTTCCCTGTAGCCACTTCTGGCTGGGCAGGTCCAGGACATTTTCTAGGACACTCTATAAGCGCTAAAGGCCTCAGAAGGCCAGGACCAACAGAAAGTATCTCCTGCAGGATCTCCTCTCCAGGTGTCCTGCCTTCTCTTGCCCATTGAAATTCCTCACTGGGTAAAAAAAGCTTCCTTTCTGCCTGCCCAAAGGACGGAATTGGGAAATTGCTCCCTCACTTGAAAGGGGACTGGGACCATGATGGCGAATCTATGGCACACAGAGCCATTTGTGCCGGCACACGGGTTGCAGGCAAACTTACCTCACTGTGCATGCGTGCATGTCACAACTGATTTTGGGCCAGTTTGAGGCCCTTTTTGGTCTCCCAGAGGCTTGAGGAAGGCTTCTGCAGGCTTTGCAGGCTGAAAACTAGGCCCATTTCATCACTTCCTGTTTTTCCTAAAATACCGGAAGTGACAGCGGGCCTAGTTTTTGGCCTGCAAAACCTGCAGAAGCCTTTCTCAAGCCTCTGGGAGGCCGAAAAAGGCCTCAAACTGGCTGAAAATCAGCGGTGAGGCACAGTGCAGGTAAGGGGGTGGCTGGGTGGGTGGGGATTGTGCACGCATGTGTAGGCTGGTGTGGAAGGGCGCTCATTGCCTTCTGGGTGCTGGCACGTAAGTGCGAGCATGGAAGCGCGTGCACAATATTTGGCAAGGAGCTCAAAAAGGTTAGCCACCACTGGACTAGGAGGACAAAAAGTTGTGAGAGGCGAGCATGTGTACATTGCCGGGAAGAGATCAATCCCCCAAATGAAGGCAGCTCCTCACCACAAAAGTTCATCCAGAAATCCATGTCTTGGTCATATTACAATGAGGTAAAAGAGTGGATTGTCTCCCCAACAGCACAGCCACCTGGCCACCAAGCAGATTTGGTGAGGCCTGCCTTTCCCCATCATACCTTGCAGACGGTGGAAGGAGGCAAAGAGCAATGCTCCGAGGAAAGTTTCAGTGTGAAGACACAGCAATGCAATTCAGCCTTCTGAATTGAAAGAGGAGCTGTCATGCCCCTGTCAGAGTCTGAATCTGAAGAGCTGAAGAACAGCTGATAGGGAGTGGGAGTGTGGCTCCTTGGCTGTGGAGGAAACTGGGGAAGGGCAAAGTACGGCTGGGCAGAACAGGGGAGAGGTAGAGCAAGGGAGGGGGCATTCAGAGGAAGACCCAGGCTCACCCCTCTTAATCCTAGGGCACGCAGGGAGGAACAGAGAAGAGAGCAACATGGGTTGCATGGCTTATGGGGGAGGAAAGGGCCCCGATTCCCTTAATTAGCCACACCTGGGAATGAGAGTTTAAAAGAGATGCAAGCTGAGTGCGGTGTCTGCTGGGAACAAACATGAGTTTATCTTGTGTTGACTATAGTTATCTGTGTTCCTGGCATTCTCCCAACTGAGTTGAATTACTCCCATTCCTTCATGTCTGGAATTCCTTCTCTTCCCCTGCTGGACTAATTATCTCATCTTGCTTTGATTGGACTTATAGTTTTTGTTGATTACATTCTGGACTTGATTCTCTGCAGCCCAAGGCTGTTCCTGGGAGAGTTTTTCTCCAGCCAGAAGGTAACCAGGACATTGGGGGCAAAGTTGGAGCTAATAAAGGGACTCCAACTGATTATCTGACAGGGTTGCCTTTGTGCCACGGCCCTTTGGGTCATCACAGGAGCTGTGATGGGTTAGAGGGGAATGAAAAGTGACTCAAGCAGTTTTCAAGGTTTAATCTGCTGTCTCTTCTTTTCTTCCAGGTAAAATGTGAGTCTAAATTGCCTTTGTCCAAAACCAAAAATAATAACAGCAACTGTAAAAAGGGCTCAAATGAGGATAAATCCAAGATTTCTGTTGGTGAGCAATGCAGAGCAGGTGAACAGGCCTTCCTGGTGGCCCTTTATAAATATATGAAAGAAAGAAAAACGCCCATTGAACGAATCCCCTACCTGGGTTTTAAGCAGAGTGAGTAGTATTTTCATTGCATTTTTTGTGTGACATTTAATGTGCTTGACTTGGTAAGAAGGGACAATGTTAAACGTGATGGGACCCTAATTTTAATTATTTTAATTTTGTATTCTATTTTATTATCCAAATCGTGTTGATATCCCAAGAGGTATTTAGGCCTACCAAAGGTCTGCAGGGCTTTTGGTTTTTCCCAATTACTTTGAGCAACCAATTTGGGGAATGCCATGAAAAAAGCCACACCCTGACCTTCTGCAGCCAATCTGTGTCCAGTTTATACTAAGTGGGCGTCCTGGGACTCGTAGGAATCCAGTTGTTGGCCCTGGATTGGTTCCTAGATGGATTCCTTTTTCATCCCCTATTCCATCAGGCCCTCCAGATCAACTCATCCCTGAAATTTAGTCTGTAATCCTGTCACACTCTCTTGGGGAAAAGTCCCTTTTTCCTAGCAAGACTTATTCTTCAAATTAGCTGGATGAGACTGCATCATTATGTTTTTGAAATGCGTAGCCAAGCCAGAAATAGCTGTAAGAGGCTTCTGTTATTTTCCTCTTTAAAACACAGTGCAGGAGAAAAAAATATTTTAAATCAGTTGGTAGTCATAGTAGTTGCTTGAGTTAAAATAACATTTACTTGCATCCTACCCAGTTTTCACCTTGAAGGAGTGGGGTAGGGGGTGTACAAAACTAAGGAAGGCATTTCAACAAGACCAGGAAATTTGTAAAGTAAATTCCAGATGTGAAAATCTACATTTACTGTATCTGACTCTAACAGCAAAGAACTGTTTCAAGGGAAGACTTACCACTATTTAAAAACAATCGTTAAATTCTGTGTAAGTATCCCATACAATGGATGGAATGATGTCATGAAGGATGTGTTTTGAATCATCAATAAGTTTTACAAATTATTTTAAAGGGCGAGGCTCTTATTTGGAAATACTAGGTATCTGAACTTCTTTTCCCTGTTATGTTGATGCAGAACGTCAAACTGGTTTGCTTTACATAACTATTTACATACCTAATAGCAATTGACACTGATTGCAACAGGCCTCCAGCAGCCATTAGAAGCTTACATAACTCTAAAATGATTACAATGTTTGCTTGAAAAACTAGCTGCTTGAAATAGAAGCAGAATTAATGTGCTATGAACAGCTTTGTTGCATTATGCATTGGATTCCTATTAAATTAAGGCCCGAGTAAGCTTAGAAAGCGCTGCTTTGCTTAGAAAGAGACTGTTGGTGTTCAGTTGCCCAGCGCTGGGGCACAGTCGCCCTGGATGTTCGCCATCGCTTTTCAACAAGACTGAAGCCAGGTTTCCAAGTCCCCAACCCGCAGATATTGGGCTCTTCAGTTCCACCAAATGGGCAAATCCCTGTTCTGGTTGATCCTGATGGGGAGTGTAGTCCAGGAGACTGGCCAGGGGCGTTTTGGGGAGGGCTCCAGAGGAGGGAGAAAGTGCTTGAAGGGGAGCCAAATTGTCTTCTGATGACGAGGACGGTTGTTGATCGCTGTTTTCCAATCTGGACATGGGAAAACAACCTGCTGAGTCAGGAGAATCTGTTTAGACAAAGAAACTCCTCTGGTGGTAAATAATTGTAGTGATACATGCTACCAGCCTCAGTAATGTGTTCTGCTGACCGGAGAACACCCATTTTTAGGTAATATTCATTTGCAGCCTGGAGAAAAAGCTCTTTCGTGGAATGGTATATAATTCACTTGGCGGAGAGAAACTGGCAACCTATGTTTATCCCATTGTTTAAAGTGTGAGTGACCAGGGGGTTTGCAAACAGGAACCTTTTTTAAAAATACATTTGTAACTTAAATAAAAGTATATCAAACGTGCCTTTAAAATAGGGCCTACGTGGAATTATACAGTAATCACACCAAAGGATCCTTCTTTCTGCCTTTGATTCAGACCTCTGATTACTTGCAAAGGGAAAGTGAATCTAGATAACAGAATAACAAAGTTGGAAGGGACCTTGGAGGTCTTGTAGCCGAACCCCTGCTCAAGCAGGAAACTCCATACCATTTCAGACAGATGGTTGTCCGATCTGTTCTTTAAAAATCTCCAGTGTTGGAATTCCCACAACTTCTGGAGACAACACGTTCCACTGATTAATTAGATTTAATAGATCCTGCAGAAAGACTCTGGGTTTGCATGTTTTCTTAGACATTTAAAAGGTGATCAGTTTCCACTATGGCCCAGATTGTAGATCGTGGTGAATTCCAAAACAATGAATAACAATTGGCATTTAGATGCTGAAGGGCACCTATTCAGTGTAACACCAAACTCTCAGCTGTCTAAACGATGCTCAGTCTGATTGCTTTAATTTAGTACCTGCAGTAGAAATCAGCCCTGTTCAGCTAAAGGCAGGAGAAAAGAGGAGAGAGAAAAACATCTGTGGTGAAGATGGAAGGATGCCCTTTCTGATGTTCTTGCAGGGCACCAAGACAGCTGTGAAGTCTCCATCCTTGTCACCTTGGCTGGAAGTTCTTTTTATAGAACCTCTGCAGCTTCTAGGTCAGAGGACTCCAAGCTTGGCAACTTTAAGACTTGTGGACTTCAATTCCCAGAATTCTCCAGCCAGCTAGTTGAAATCCACAAGTCTTAAAGTTGCCAAGTTTGGAGACCCCTGTCTTCACGTGGATTGCTTCAGCTTTTAGAAATTATTTTCATGGCTTCAGTATCTAAAGCTTTGGGCTTTTTTGAAACGCTGGACAGTGGAATGGGCTGGCTCAGTCCTTTTGCCTGAGAGAGGCCTGGCTCTCGTGAAGGCTTAAGAAGTGTCCCTGTAAGTGAAGATCAGTGACCATTCACATGAAGGAAGAGTTGTTTGTCCCATTGCCATGAGGCACTTAAGATTCAGCAAGGATTAGAGCAGGGGGTCCCCAAACTGGGCGACTTTAAGACTTGTGGACTTCAATTCCCAGAATGCTGGGAGCTGAAGTCCACAAGTCTTAAAAGGGCCAAGTTTGGGGACCTCTGGGTTAGAGGGAGCGGGAGCGGCCAGGATCACCAAGCTCAAGGGATTGGCATGAGCATCCTTTGCCAGGACTCCCTCCAGTATTTCCCCAAGGGGTGGCTTGGCAACGCTCCGGCCAAGTGCTGGACACAAGAAAATAGGCCCAGAAATACACCCACCTCTGCCATTCTCCAGATCATTAATGCCTCGATTATAATTGGAAAGAAAGGAATGGGAGCCTTTGCACTCTTAGTTACTCTAGGGCGGCTCTCTACAGGAAACGTGTACCCAGAGCTGAGCTGAGCTGAACCAAAAGGCCTAGAAATTTAGGGCCTAGGCTGAGAGCATTCCCCACTCCCCCTAAGCATCCATACCCTTAGCTTAGAGCAACCTTCCACCATATCCAATCTTGGGGAGATTTGCACCCTGCTGTGGCATCTAGTAGCTCTGGAGGGAATTAGAGGGAAGGCAGAGCCCCCTGGAAGAGTTGCCTTCCCCTAGAACAGGGGTCTCCAACCTTGGTAACTTTATAACTTGTGGACTTCAGTTTCCAGAATTCCTCAGCCAGGATGCTCTGGCTGAGGAATTCTGGGAGTTGAAGTCCACAAGTCATACAGTTGCCAAGGTTGGAGAGCCCTGCCTAGAAGGTCTCACCAGGGTCACCTGTCCCTTACCTGCCCCAGGTGCAGTGCTGGCAGGAGGAGCACATGGGATGCTGGTGGAGGAGCCTTCTGGATCCTAGCCAAAGCTCTTACTCTCGCTTTGTATCTGCTTTCACAATTACGGCTAACTCTCTTAGTTAGGCCACTTTAAGGAAATGCTCTGTTCTTAATTAATCAATGCCTTCGATTTAGGAGCATGTACCACAAAGCCTCCTTTGTTTAATGGAGGAAATACTGATTATGTCTTATCCTGGAGGAAGTAATTGTTTTCTAATACCTGTAACTGGATCTAAGTAGAAGGTTCCCCTTGTGGTTTTTAAAAGAGGGGTATATGTGCAAAGGGCAGAGTTTGCACTTTTGAATTATGTAAATATGTTTCACAGACTGTTTCCCCGTTTTTGTCTAAATGTGATTATTGTTTTTCTTGCTTCATTGTCAAAGAAAGATTGTTACATTTGCATTTCTTGGAAAGATGGTTAATGCAATGCTTATCTCAATGCTTATTGTCCCTCTAACAGTTAACCTTTGGACTATGTTTCAAGCTGCTCAAAAACTGGGAGGATATGAAACAGTAAGTGTTGAAGTAACTTCAGAGAGAGAAAAATTGGGCACTTAATTTTCTCATGTTTTTGCCATGTGTGCATTAAATATATTTTTTTTAAAAAAATCCACAGTTCAGCAGAAAACACTTTGAATTTATGGGGTTCTCTTTTGGAAGCAGTCTGAATTAATTCCAGGCTTGGCAAAACTGTAAACTTGTAGTTAAAAAAAAAAAGAAAGCTAAAAAACCCAACTCTGAGTGGAAAACATACGTAACTCTTCCTTGTCAAGGAAATTGTTTGGGTTTGTAATTTTTTCCTATGTTAAGAGAGGGATATTCTTGTAAAACTAGCCAAGATTGCGTAAAAGAACATTTGCCTTGGCATAGTCCCTGACATCTGCTCTTGTCAAATGTGGGAAATGTATTAAATACTTTAAAAAGCAATCGGCCATGTCCATTACAGTGTAGTGTACTGCAGTGTCTGTTCTTGTTTTGAATGGTAACAGCCTTTTGCAGAAGAGGGTCAGGCCATATAAACAGGAAGTTATCTAAAGTTTAAAATTAAGTGGGGAGGGAACACGATGCACTGATCCTTTTTATCAACTAACAGTATCTGACACGGATTTTATTTTTAGCTCTTGGGGAAAATTGATGGTTGCGGATTTTACAGCATATGTCCCAAACCAACAAATATTGGAGTCACAAACTGTGATTAAGATCTTAAAAGGAGAAGAAAGAACTGCCTGATATGAGGGAGGGAGGGAGAAAGAGAGAGATGGCATCTGTAACAAGATCCAGTTGACATAAAAGGTTTATCACTGGAAATGTTTTCACTGCCTCAGATTAATTGGAGCCTTCTTGAGGCAGCTGGATTCCAAACACACTGACCTGGGTGTATGGAAAACTCTAGTTTCTGAACCGTTTGTTTAGAAAGCATACAGCTTGGCTGCCCTTAAGTTACAATGAAACAATAGATAAAACCAGAAACGTATTTAAACAAAACAGCAAATCATCCTAGAACTAGTAAGAAAAAGTGCATTGTTTCATTTTAATAACTATGATGCTAATGGATGTTGAGATGCTTTTGTTATTACAGGAAATAATGAATGCATACAATCAGTTTTTTTAGCTCGCCCTTTAATTGACATTTGCTCCTTTCGTTTCAGTCTTCTTGCGTGGCTAAATCTGTTCTTATTTATTCAAGAGTAATCTCTATTAAATTTAGTAGGTCATGCTTTGAAGGAAAATTGCAAGTTTAATATGGTTACTGCCATACTTAAAATATGAAATGAAAACACCGTAATTAACGCTCTGTTCCAAAGCATGAGGCAAGAAGCTTGACTTTCTCTGGGGGATGGTGCTTGAGTTACCCAGGGCCAGCTTAAAAATTGGTGTCCCTTTGAATTAACAAATCAAACAGATTCCCATCACCCTATCCCCAAAGGGTTCTGGGTCACAGAGACAGGAATGGATTCCCAAACAAGGTGCCAAAATGGAAACTGGAAATTAATCAGGGAGGATTCTAAACATAGCAGGCATATTGTGTGCTTGAACACAATAGCTTGGATTTTCTGGCTCTTGTTTAGCACAGACTGACAATATTTGAAGTTGCTTTGAGCCTATGAGCATTTGGGTGCAGGAAGCAACATTTCCCACCTCAACTAGCAAAAGAGGTTAAAAAAACCCCATCTATTTTGCAACAGACATTAAATCCCAAATTAAGCCAGTAGAATCAGAGGAACTCTCCCGATTTTGGTCTCTTTGTCCTCCTTTCAGTTTAGCACAGGGGTCTCCAACTCTGGCAACTCTTAAGACTTGTGGACTTCAACTCCCAGAGTTCCTCAGCCAGATCGTCCACCAGTCTTAAAGTTGCCAAGGTTGGAGACTCCTGGTTTATCAGCTTCTCAACTTGTTATAATTTTAAGGAACTCCGTTCCTTATAGAGTCTTCAGTGCTCCATCCATTTCTTAGTAGACTCTCCTATTCCGGAAAGCTTTTCAAACTTGGTTTTAGGGTTGATCTGATTTTAATAAGCATCTATTTTAATGCTGCAATCGCACATACTTTATTCGCTGGAGGAAAGAAAAGAAAAGCTTTTGTTTAGAAAAGGAAACCATTTGTTGGACCTGCTTTCGCTGGGCTTTAAGTCAAGCGCACTTTGGGCCGGGGCTTTATTGTCAGCAAGGAATGCTGATGATGTCCCAGGCTGGTTGCTACGGGACCAGCTGTCTTTCAGGGAGGGAGAGACCTTCTCACAGGAGTGAACATACCCGTTGAAAATGCATCCCATTGATGGTTAAAACCTTCCCCAAGTGCTAGAGGTACAGACAAGAAGAAAACCTGAGCCGTGGAGCTGGAAGTACAAAAGAGGAAGCTTAGCAGCTCCCAGAAAATGTTGCTGAGGACACGACTGCAGGAGTTGATGAAATAGCGGCCAAACTGATTGGCATCTCCTTCCTCCTTGAGGTTGGTGCAGAAGAGGCAGCAAAGCCAAAGGCCTGGAAAAGACCCATTGATGTTGGCCCGTTTATGACGGTGAAAGGGGGCTGCTGGAGAAGGCTCCCCAAATGCAGAGCACAAGATGTTGCCATTCAGACTTCCTCAGCAGCTGGACATAGAACTGCCAGAAATGGCAGCTGAATACCGGAAAGGCATTCGTGACTGAAATCGCAGTGCTAGCATTACGGAAAAGACACGGGCGCTTCAAAAAGATGTTGACTTTTGCTTTGTTGCTTCTACAAAGGACGTTGGCTGATGTCTGTCCCACCAGCAGATTGGGTCTTCTCCTTTAAAAACTATGATCGCCAAGAAGGAGGAGGAGGAGGAGGAGGAGGAGGAAGAAGAAGAAGAAGAAGAAGAAGAAGAAGAAGAAGAAGAAGAAGAAGAAGAAGAAGAAGAAGAAGAAGAAGAAGAAGAAGAGGAGGAGGAGGAGGAGGAGGAGGAGGAGGAGGAGGAGGAGGA